ATGTTCAGCCATGTGCTGCACTCCTGCGACACAGAAAACAATCCACACTGCAGCCTAACGAAGCGTCTTATCGACTGACTATTCTGACAATCAGTCAAGTAATCAGAATTAATTTTTCATTTATCCACTTAAACTTCCATCCATCCATTTTCTTTACACTTGTTTTATGCAATATTTGAAATATAACAAAAATGCGAACAATTCGGTTTGTTTTTAGATAAGAAAATAAAAAACTGTACTGTCTATGATCCAATAACTATGATGATGTGTCAGAGTCAGAGTCTGGCTAAAAATAATAATACAAGGAGGAGCAAATTTCTGCTAAATAAATGAGAAAATGTTTTTGAAAAAATGAGGAAATTTTTAAATTTGAACATTCAAAAATTTGAGACAAACTTTTTGTTCCAGATTTTTCCAGAAAAATGTTTGAAATTTCTGAATTCCAAAAGTTGAAAATTCACAAGACAAAACAGATTTTATTTCATTTTTTTTAATTTCTGAGTTGCAAAAGTTGAACATTTTCACATTTTGAAACTCGGACATGTCCTTTCTATAGAAAATTTCTGAAAGAAAAAAAAAATTATAGGTTTATTCACACAAAAAAATGTGACTGTTCAAACTCAGAAATCTCCAAGTTTTTTCTACAAAATTTTAGGAAAAATTTTGGAGAAAATTTTGTCTCTTTTTTTCCCCCATAATCAATGTGCAAAAAGCTCAACACTTTCTGCTCGACTTTACATCAATACAGCACAGGACTGATCTGCTTATTATTTTTTGATAAAGCGATTAATAACTGGATAGCAAAATGAAATTAAACATTTGAAGCTAAATCTGCCACTGGAGGAGAAATATTTGTACAGAAAAATGATTTTTTTTTCTATCTTATATGGAAAATGTATAGATTTTGTACAGTTTTGACTTAATTACCGCTAATTGCCTTGTTACTTTAGCACTGTTCTAGCCTGTACACTCCACTTAGTTGATGATTATTTCAGTAATCGGTTCATGACGTCGTTTCTGATAATGTTGTCCTGCGACTTAATGCTCCTGTTCATTTAATTTGTTTGATTTTTAGTGAGCTGAAGTCCAGAAGACGCAGCAGTGTGTGGCTCATGGGCACCTCGGAGGCGCTGCCGTGGCGCAGCGCCAGCTCCTTCCTGTAGTGCTCCACGGCCTGGCGGTGCTGCCTAAGGTCGGTGTGGGTCGCAGCCAGGGAGACGTGGATGACGGCCAGCTCCAGATCCGACTTCCCCAAAGCCTCAGCAGCCGTCAGCTGAGCCGCAAAAGAAAAACAAATGCAGAGAAAGTCGGCAGGGAGAGTTCACAGGCAAAGATGTTGATGCTTCTCGATATGGATTAGAAATAAAATCTCCTATTTTTTTTTATAACAGATTGGATGTTTTTTTTTTTTTAGCTAAAATGGAAATAAATAAAACTGACAATATTTTCAAAAAGTGTTTTTCATTTCAAGCATTCTTTCTGTGAGTTTTCTGGAGTATTAGGGCCAGGCTATAAGAATTGTTGTTTAATTACGAGAATAAAGACGCAATTTTACCAGAAAACATCTAAAATTACAAGAAAAAAGTTGCTACAATGTATTACAAGATTCAGTGGAGTTATGAAGAGCTGATGTGACCAGCTCATCCAGTCAGTGTGGATCTTAATTAAAAAATAACTTTATAAAATTACAAGAAAAAATTGCCTTAATCAGAAAACATCTTCAGTCATCAGGATCTGACATGAGCAGCTCAGGTTTGTGTGGCTCTTTTTCAGTTGCCTGCATGATCATTTCAAAGTCCTGCTACTGAGACTGATGTGTTAAAAGATTAAGTATTTTTACTAAGTATTAAGTTTTATTTGTAAAATTTACACCAAAGTATAATCTCACAAGATGCTCAACATTCCTCATTTATTTTTTTTATTTTCAGTGTTTGAGTTGTCATAAAATTACTACTTTATTATCCCAATATTTTGACTTTATTCTGGTAATATGACTGTCGTACAACTTTATTCTTGTATTAGAGCAACTATAATATGGTAACAATATGACTGTAGTATTAATACGACTTCATTCTGGTAATTTTATGACTTTATGATCAAAATAAAACCTTTTTGAGCCTGGTCCTAATATTTCATCGTAGAGTTGACCTGAATTCAAAGTCCAAATAAACAGAAGCTGTGAAACAAAATGGCCGCCCTTCAGAATTGGTGGGGGAAAAAAATCCAGATTTTCCAAAAAGTTAAATCTCCAAACACCAAAAGTGAAATAAATAATTGCAACGGATTTATGACCCAGTTTTACATCTCACCTGAGCCCGGTAGGCGTCCAGAGCTTTGCTGTAGCAGCCCACTTTGCAGCACAGATCCCCCAGCTGCTCGGTCAGCTCCACAACCTGGCGAGAGCTGGGTCTGCTGCCCTGATCCTCCGACAGCTCCTCCTCCAGCTTACACCCCTTATCAGCTGCAGAATATTGAAATAAAAGCAACTGCCTTACAAAAACAAAGCCAGAAACAAGGCTGAAGAGGATTTCTCACCGTATTTGAAAGCTTTCTTCACGGCCATTTTGTCCGCCGGCTGCTGCGAGCCGAGAAGCAGGGCTTTCTTCAGAGATCGTCGGGCTGCCACAAAGTCGCCCAGATAAAGCTGAACCTGTTGATGGGATTATTCTAGTTAAATTAAACCAACAATGGAAACATTTCCAATAACTGAAATAACTAAAAACGTTAATTAATGGGGAAAAAAACTATAACTGAATGGAACTGTGTTGTTCATTTATAAAACAACGCAGAATACTGTAATTATGTGCTCAATATCCTTGGTTTTTGTGTATATGAAACAATTTTTTAGCCTTTCAAATTGATAAGAAACTGTGGATAAAACAGGAGGTCGTACCGCCAGTTTGGTGATACTTCCAATATTTAAAAACAAAAAAACTAATCAATATTTATTGATAAACTGTTATGAAACACTTATATCGCGATAAAGCTTTCAGCCATATTCTCCAGCCCTGTTTACATAATCACAATACAATAATCTATGAATGAAAGTTTGAAAAAACTAAAACTACAACTATAACTAACAATAACTAATCTAAAACTAAGCAATATTTAAATAATAATTAATAAAAACTAGTAAACTAACTGAATAAGACAAAAACGTAGCAGCGAAATAAAACTAAACATTATAGTTTAGTTTTAGTTTTATTTCCTTGCTACAGATAAATTTCATTATAGAAATAAACTTGTTTCGGACCTTGCCGATGCAGTGGAAGCACTCGCTCTCGCTGAACTTGTCCTTCATTTTCCGGGCGCAGTCCTTGGCCTGCTCCAGGCAGCGCACGGCGCTGGACGGCTCGCCGTTGCGGAAGAAGATGTTGCCCAGGTTGAAGTTTGCCCGGTACAGATCCTCCAGCAGCTGGCTCTTCCTTCAGACAAATACGTTAAGCAAAACAATGATGCACAACATCGGCAATCAGTGGAACGTAAAACACTAAATTAATGACGAAACTTCCTGACTTACAAGACATTTCAATCAGGTTACAATTTGATCAATTCATCAAAATTATTGTTTTTGCAGATTTAACTTTCTTGCTCTTTTCTAAAATGAAATTACTAAAGTATTTCCAAAAAGTAGCTTTTATTCATATCTGAGTTGTAGGACAGAGAATTAGACCAAAGCTACAAGAATGTTAGTTAAGTTACAAGAAAATAATATCAGATTAAGTATTTCTATTAAGTATTATCTGTAAAACCGAAGTATCACTTCAAGAGATGCTCAATAACCTCATTTTAATCTTTTATATCGGGTTGTGATTTTTTATTTCTACTGTATTCACGTGTTATCTCGACTCTATTGTCGTATGACTGCATTTTCATAATATTACAACTTTATTCTCCCAATTAAAAAATCTTAGCCTGCTGCTGATTTTCTGTCACAGAGTTGATATGAATTCAAAGTACAAATAAACAGAAGCAGTAAACAAAATGGCCGCCATGTGCTGACATCACTCCGTTGGTCCACCTGATGTCAGATAAATAAACCATCTGCTTGTTCTTACTCTGCGATGAAAACGCTCCGCCGGATGAACTCGCTGCAGCGTTTGGGCTCCCCCAGATGATCACACACCAGACCCAAGTTCAGGAAGAGACGAGCCTTCATCTCTCTGATCTCTCGCTCAGGCACCGTCCCTAAAAATATAAAACAATTACATAATCTACAGAAAATCATTCAACATCACTCACTAATCAGCTAAACAAAAACAACACGCACCGCCTAGGCGTTCGTCCACGACAGCCAAGCTCTTCCTGAAAGCGTCCTCTGCTTGCTTTAAGCTGCTTTTTGATTGGTCAGATTCATACCGGAACAGGAAGGTTCGACCAATGGTGGCCAGCGCTCTCTGCTCCTCTGCATGATCCCCGACAGAGCGGGCCAGGTCCAGGTGACAGCGCTGGTGCTGGAGAGCAAAATGTCTCACACTTTCTTATGCAGAAGCATTACCCTTAACCTACGACTCCAGAATCAGTTAAAGGCGACGCACGTAGGGATGAAAGTTATCAATTAATGAGTAAATCGACTAGCGATGAATTGATAAGCGGCTATTTTCTTAAAAACTTTAATTTTCTCTTGTATCAAAAGGATTGACCATCTTTCCGTTAATGACACAAGGCTTTTTTGTGTGAAAAACCAACCTTCAAAGCGGCTTCGATTTTTCCCGTCTCAGCGTAGCACTCTCCTATTTTGCGGTTTGCTACAGCCCGTCCAATCACGTCATTCAGCGCTTCAGAGAGCGCCAGCTCCTGCTGGTGTTCCCTAATGGCGCCCTCATAGTCACCTGAGGTGCAAAATAAACCCAATAAGACAAACTGAAACAAGGAACCAGGAATCCAAGAAGGGCTGAAACAATTAATCAATCATTGAAATCATTTTCAACTAATCTGCTAATCGATTAATCGTTAAGTGGAGCATACAGACTCTAAAAATGGCCATTTTCTGAAAAAATAACACATTCAGAGAAATCATTAAGCCAACATATATGTATATATTTCTAATATGAAAAACCTTCATTTTCGGTAATTATGTTCTCCCCAGACTCACGTAGCATGTTTAGCTTCACCTGGTTAAAAGTCTGAAAAATAAAATCTTTCTGCTGTAAAATTTATTAATTTAAAAAAATGCCATGTTATTGCAATAGAAGAAAAAAAAAAAAAAAAAATCTGCAGAATGTGCCAATGTTTTTATCGATTTGATTATCAAAATAACTGACAGAATAATCAATGACTAGAATTGTTAGTTGCAGCCCTAGGTAAAATGTATCATTGCAAAGATGCTCAGAAGTTACAGAAGAGTTTGAAGTAAGAAGTAAAGCATGAAATAAGTAAAATGAAAACCAAAAATGCTGTTAATATATGGGTGAAACTGAATAAATTACAGTATTTTTGAAAAGTCACTTAATTTCAGTAATTCCAAATTAAATTTATTGGTCATGTTTGTGCAAATAAATAAGGGATTTTGCTGCAACTCCCCTTTGCCTCTCAATGTTCAGACATTTGGAAACCAAATATTTAAATTTGGTAGAGATTAAAACAGAATTTTTTAAAGTAGATGTGTATTCAGTGTTATTACAAAAGAATTCAATTCAGCTAGGTAAACTTTTACACAATATTGTCTGATTAAATCAGTTTCAAAAGTTTGTTTTTATTAATTTTGATGATTCTTCATTACAGCTCATAAGCACAAATTCAGTTTAATCAGAACATATGATTATATAAGAACAAGAAGAAAGGATTTTAAAGCAGAAATGTCCTCAATACAAAGTTCATTCATTTACTGCTTCAGAATCCGGACAAGGCTGATAGTGCACCTTTTGTCATCATACTTTTTCCTTCCACTAAACTTTTCATCAAATTAATGCAGCAGTCTGAAATGGTCACAACATTGTGTTTATGTATTTAAAAACTGTTTTTGTCACTATTTACTGGAATGTTAAGTGTAAACACGTCTCACCAGTCCTGGACAGCAATTCTCCGAGCTGGTTGCAGATGTTAGCCTCTTCCTTCAAGTTTCTGTTAGCCTGAGCTTTGCTTTTTGCTTTCTGCAGCTCTGAAACACAAACAAAAACAGCGCGGAGGTAGCATCCTCCTTTCCAAACTAGCAGGAAAAACACGTAAACAAAGAGATACTTGCGTTTAATTTCCCGAGAGGAGCTCATCTTTGTTTAGCTAGCGGCAGACCTGCAGCAGGGAGGAAATGACAACTTTAGCTTCGCGCTGGTTTCTTAAAAGATAAACCGAACAACCTTTAGATCATTTTAACTGCCGCTTGTCTGCGCGTTCAACATTCATGTTCGGTTTGGGTGTCAGATTAAAAAAAAGAACTATTTACTGTAATCATCTTAGTAAACATCGCCGATATTTGGCTAAAAATACACAATAAGTTTCACAGTTCCCCGCCAGGAAGACGATAACCAATGACAGCGATGGTTAATTTACCCGGAGTTTTGTCTGCAAGGCACAGTCCAGCTATCTGAAACATCGAACAGGACAGCTCCACAAAACTCAATTTTCAGCTACATCATTTTAGGTTAGTGGTTTATTTACACATTTCTCAGAAAATATAGCGCAAAAATTATAATGCGTCAACGTCATGAAAAATTATATTTCTTTCTAAGTGAAAGTCAGTCTAATAGACAAAACTCAGGGTGAAATTAACGCGTTAAAGTCGAGATTCTTTCCTAACTTCCTTAACGCACAAAATGACGGGCAGAAAGTTCATACCTGAATCAGGTACAGACTAAGAAGCCTAAACATGGCCTAAACCAGAAGACAGTCAATCAAATTTCAATTTCAATTACAGCTTCAGATTTTAGTTTGTTTTTCTCAAGTGCTTCAACACGAGGTGACAACTTTATATATAAGGTTTTTTTTTTAAAAAATCTCAGCATTGAAGTTGGAAAAGGTTTGGAAAATATTAAACATGTTATGGCCACACTTGTAAGCATGTTTTTTATTTATATTTTAAATATCACCTAGATAAAGTGCTATAGTATAGTTTTTTTTATTACTCATTATAGCTTTCTTTCTTTCTCTCTTTCTTTTTGGTAAAAAGAAACATAGCTTGAGTATTTAATTAAATGTGGTGAAACATTAAGCACATAAAATCGGCAAAAATGTTTTAGTTTCTTACTACCTTTTTATCTATTATTATTATTGAGTAAATGTGGAGTTGGCGCCCCCTTGTGTTCTGCCCAGTACGTGCACTGCAGTTGGTTGTGATTATGAAGTTGTTTTATGATTTGAAACTTTAAACAATTATTTTGTTAAACTAAAAGGTTATGACACTTTTTAAATAGAAATCTGACTTGCATTTTATTATTTCTAGCTCAAAGCTAAAATACTCTGATTGATAGAACCTGAACTAAATTTTGCTATGTCAAACAGAGATTTAGTAAAATACAGATTTAGATTTAAGAAAACATTAATTTTGCTAGGAAATTCAGAGTTTGTTTTTTTAAATATTGCTGAAACTTGTTCCGTATCCCTTTTTGACATTGTAAAACTTCCGTAATATTGCTAATGTGAATATTTAACAACTTATTTCTTTATTGCATTGCGGCACTTTTGGCATTCTGTACTTTTTTATTTTATTGCTTTGAAGAATGGATGGAAATGTAAAATTTAGCTATATTCTGAGAATAAAGTTTCCATTAAATATTTATTTCAAAAGTGTCGCAGAATGAAAATTGAAGTTAATTTATAACTACGGATTATCTATTTATGTACAGTCTTAAATGATCGACATCATATAAGCATTTAAGTATTTATTTGCTTCTTTATTGTGTTATGCTTTGCATAGATATATAAATTTATACACAATGTTTTCTTTTTTTTAATGTGGTTAACAAATTATTTCCTTATCGCATTGCATTGTGGCTATTTTGGTATTTCATACTTTTTTTAGCTTTCAAATATTTCTGAGTGGAAAAGCTCACAGCTTATATATATATATATATATATATATATATATATATATATATATATATCACATATCTTTTTTCTAAAGTGTTTTTTCTAAAGACCTTTCTGCACTTTAAACCAGCACAACAAAGTCCTGATGTCTAAATAACGACTCTCGTAAGACTTTGGGTAATCAGTGAACCTTGTATTCGCTCGGTCAGTGACACTTTTGTAAACAAGGACCTGCAAATCTGAAAAACAAATAATGCTTAAGATTATTTAGACCAATTTTTAGACTGACGTAGGTGGAGTTAACCCAAATTCATGATCTTATAATCCAGCTGTGCGGTCTGGAAAGGGGGACACATGGCCAGGCGGATGATGACGTCAGCGCTTTTTTTGACTGGCGTTTGCAGCTGAACGGCACGTTTTGGTGGACAAAACGTGCCGTTCAATTTAGCTTGTTGCTTAATTAAACAAATTGAGTTTCTCTTTTCACTGAATTAAATAAATTAGCAGAGGCGGAGTAATTAGTTACAATTCCTTGAGGAACCTTTTTGGAAAAAATTACTTTTAGGAGTATTTTTTACTACGCTGTACTTTTTACTTTTAGCTGAGTAATTTCACTATGAAGTTACTTTAGTAATTGTTTTAAATACTCTGCCCACTGTGGGTAACTTCACTTGATAAAGAAGCAGCTTGTACTAACCAAAAAGTCACCACAAAAGCACACAGCTGTAGTTTACAGGTTGCTTTATCGCTGCAGGACCTGCTGCAATGTTTTGACACTAGCTGCATTTCCATTGACCATAAAATTGCACAAATTGGAATCACAGAAATAAATTTGCTTCATGGAAACATGTCAATTTAAAAAAACAAAACAAAACACGTTTTTCAATAAAATTTGGGATGAGGTGGTTTGGTTTATTTCACAAAACTAACAGAAACAGTTTTATCGCATCACACAAGTCACATGATCAACACAAGATGTTACTATTGGCAGAAACAAAGAAGAAGACATCAACAGGAAGTAGTAGGAGGATGATGGCACAGCGTAAACAAACTTCACGTAAACAAACTTATTCACATATTTTTTTAATTGCATTTTTTGATTAAAAGGTTTTGGTGCTAGTATAAGGTGGTTTTTTTGGCTGTACTGAAATTATTGTATTTTGCAAAACTGTAATAGGAACACTTTTTCGCATCATGCGAGTCACATGATCAACAACCAGATGTTACTACTGGCGGAAATGACAAAGAAGACGATAGGAAGTAGTTGGAGAATGATGGCACTGCATGTTTTTTTAATGACTTATTACATGAACAAACTTATTCACATGTGATTTTAAAAGCTATTTAATGTAAATTGTGAAAATGTGTTTTTTCAGCAGTTTTCCGTACAGCTATATTATAAAAATTACACACTCAGCTGAGTTTACATTACAAATGTGCGCAAAACTTTGTCGATATTCCAGTAATGCCGAAAAAACAATTTCGTAATTGCTAATTAGAATAAGAAATACAATTAATAAAATCACACATAAATAACTTTGTCCAGGTAATAAATAATTAAACATGCTGCGCCATAATCCTCCAATTACTTCCTGTCACCTTCCTTGTCGTTTTCACCAGTAGTAACATCCGACTGTTGATTATATAACTTGTGATGTTTTCATTGGTTTTGAGAAACACATGTATTGATATGGCAAAAATAAATAAATAAATAAAAAAACCTCATGCTAGTGCTAAAACTTAAAAAAACAAACAAAAAAAAAAACAAACGTATTTTTAAATTTTGAGCGTTTCCATTAAGCAAATTTATTTTCATAATGCCAATTTCCACAAATTTCCAATTGTGATGTTTCCATTAAGTAAGAAACAAAATGAAAATCAAATAGAAGTTAAAGTTTTTTAAACGATAAGTTATTAAAAAATCATCAACCAACTATTTCCTGTCGTCTTCTTTGTCGTTTCTACCAGTAGTATTATCTGGCTATTGATCACAACTTGTGTGATGCGAAAAAAGTGATTCCATTACAATTTTGTGAAATAAATTTTGATACAGCCCAAACAGAAAATAGCACCTCATCCTAGTGCCAAAACTTGAGGTTTTTTCAAATTGATGTGTTTCGATTTAGCAAATTTATTTTTGTAATTACAATTTACGCAGTGTTATGGTGGATAGAAACTCAGGTATTGAAAAATAACGCAGCGAGCAGCAATATTCAGAAGACAAACCTCTGCTGGCATTGAAATGTGTAAATGTAAAGCATCTTTTCTCCGGATCCTGCTGAAGCAAAGAGCTTCCTCTCTGCTTCTGTGTGCCTGACCTTCCAAACGAGCGCGCCGCATCACTGCGAGAATTGGTGATTCTGGGCGGCGCAATAAGTGGAGGAGAGCGCATCAGAGTGCAGGGTATCTGAAAGCAGCAGAGAGGCAGGCACATCCGCCGCTGGAGGGATCAAATCTGTACCATCTGACGCTCAAGGATTTACGGGTTTAGTCAAAATTGCTTTTCCCACTGTGGAGATTAAGCACAGTAGGATGTTTTCCTCTCAGCGCGGAGAATAGCCGGGTTGCTGCTGCCGTTTTCCTCCGTCTTATCGGCTCCTCCGGCGCTGGAGAAGGGAATGTCTGAGGAGGGCAGAGTGCTGGAAACCCCGGTGGGAAGCGGATTCTGACTGACAGGAGCGGTCCGGGGAATGTGAGCCATGCAGGCAGAAACGGTTCTGATGCTTTTCTGCGTCTGGATGGCAGGAACAGTAGCGAAGATGGTTCAGCCAAGAGGTCACAAGCTGGAGCCCTACAAACAAACCAGGTAACGACCCACAGGTGACAATTAGGGCCGACGCAGATAGAAAAAAAGAGAAATATTCAACCAAAAAACTCAGAAATCTTGGGATTTATCTCAGAAATCTTATAGAAAAACAAGGAAACTCTCTGACATCAAAAGTTGCAAATTTGCAAGAAAAAAACTATGAAGTTTTCATGTTAATCACAGAAATATTCTTTGAAAAAACAAGTACATAATTGAGTTCCAAAAATTTAGCATTTGCAAAAAAGAATCTCAGAAATTTTCTAGAAAAAAAAAAAATAGAAGAAAATTCTCTGAACCCAAAAAGCTGGAAATGTGCGAGAAAAAAAAACTCAGATTCATTCTCAGATTCATCTTAGAAATTGTATAAAAAACTAAGAAAATTTCTGAGCTCAAAAAGCCTAAAATTTTCCACTTTTCAAACTTAGAATATTTGTAATATTTTCAAATTTAAAAGCTCTGAAAAATTTTGAAATTTTTCTGGAAAATATGTGAAATTAATCTTAAAATTTCTGAGGTTTTGTCTTGCAAATGTTAAACTGTTCAGAGCTCAGACACTTTCTTCTTTTTTCTAGACTTTTTCTGAGATCAATCTCAAAATTTTAGAATTTTTTTCTCGCAATTTTTTTTAACTTTTGTAGCTCAGAAATTTTCAAAATTTTCCAAGATTTCTGAGATTACTCTCCGATTTATATATATATATATATATATATATATATATATATATATATATACTATTTTTAGCAAATTTATGATTTTTCAGGCTTGTAAATATTCTTGTTTTTTCTAGAAAATTTCTGAGATCAATCTCAAAATTTCTGAGTGTTTTTTGGCGGACATTGATGCCTTTGTTCTATCTACAATGGCCCTAATGCGCCGTTGTAGGAAAAGCTATAGAAAGAAAACAAATAATTTAAGCTGAAAATCCACAGAGACTGAAAGTTTCATTCCCCATTCGTAGTTTATTTTGCATCCACAGTGTCTTCCCCTCTTCCCTGCATCACCTGGACGCTCCCTCCCCTCAGAAAACAGACTTATTCAGATAGCAGGTCAGCCAGATGAGAGAGGGAGACCTAAATCCCTACTTCTATTTATGTACGACCGGACGAAGCTCGCTTGCCCCACAACTGCTGCAGGGCAGATAATGACTGTTTCCCCACCGGCTGCAGTTGTAGCCAATGTCATTTCCAGGTGATTATTTAGGCTAATTGCAGTCTGGTTAATGTGTGCATTGGATTAAACATTTTTACTGGGGTCTAAACTGGATCAGTCGATGAAACATCTGCGTTTCCAGTTTAATGACTGGAAGTAATGTCTCAGGACTGACCTCTGGCCTTCGGATCATTTATGTTTAAAAACTACTTTAATTTTAAAAGCTAATGTCATCTGATCAACAAAATAATTTATAAACTGTCGGATTTAATCTGATCAACTTTTAGCTGCAGTCAGAATATATCAAGGTTTATGTCCATTGCAGGTAGCCTTATGATCATTTGGGGACAAAAATAAATAAATCTTTGACATGTTTTTATAAAATTCACAATTTTCTTCCCTGAATTAACCAATTTCTCATTTTTGAAGCTCCATTAATGTTCAGAATTCCTGTTTTGCAAAGATCTAAGAATAATGATAGCCATTTTTACACTTATTTTGCATTTTTATTATGGAATATTAAGAAATATTGTTTAAATAATTAAGTCTTGCTAAGTATCAGGTGTAGGATGTGAGAGTATTAGCTGTCTGAATAAAATTTAGAAATATTTTTTAAAGTAGGGCACAGCTAAAGCTCACCGAGTTTAGCTGCCTTTCTGTCTGCACTTCACATTAAAAATGGAAAATAAATGCTTTTAATGTTTAAGGCCTTTTTACCTACATTCCCAATTTTCAAAACAAGTCTGCCATTTGATCTAATGATCAAGCTTTTCTAATTGTCACCAAAGCTTTCAGAATAAAACAAACTAACTTTTTAAAGTAATTTAAATTCTCCTCCTCCATTCACTGTGACAGCTAATTAAAACAGCCAGCGTCTCGTGTAGGCGGAGTGTTGATACTTAATTCTTGCCATCTGAAGATTTACAAATTTACACTGACGAGAGAAAACGCTCACAAAAACAAACAAAAAATCAACTTACTGGTGTCAGATCACGTATTCCAGTCCTATAAGTATTCCCTTACTTATTTTTAATCTATTTCTTAAGAGAAGAGCCGAAGGCTAAAAACTGGAGCTAACTAGCCATCTAGTTCGTTTTGCTGCACCCAGCGCCGTTGTTTGCGCATGCGCAATGACATAGTGTTTGTCAGCGTCCGTTCTTCTTCTTTATTATAATGGCGTTTGTGTAACAAGTGAAGCAAACATTACCGCCACCAACTGGTAAAACTGTCCCTTATATCAATGAAGTAACGGGCTGAATGATGGGCATACGTTTATCTTTTTTAAAATGTCATGCGATTTATCCGGACTACCTTTGTGATCGATAGGTAGATCGCAATGGATGTATTGATCCTCTCTCAACAATTATTCAAAGTTTTTCTTGAACTCTGTCCCTTTTGACCAAGAAACCATACCAGATAGTACTGTACACCAGTGGTTCCCAAACATTTTCTGCGACCCCCCTATGGATTACAAATGACTGTCTGGTTGAAACGACGCGTGTGAGGGGGGGCATCGACTTTTTTGGGGGCAAAATGAATGTACGTAGCTGAAAATAGACACCAACATTGGTAGCCTACAAGCTACTTGTTAAGCTTAAGGTTCTGTATTGATATTAGCTAGCTAGTCATCTTTTAGCTAACATTACCTGCATCCAACAGCTTTACTCAACAGTCGGTTAGTTTGGAGGGAAAAACTGTGAAAAGTTCTTTGCGTTTTGCTGGTTTGCTGCCGTGATCCTAACACAAACCTACGTAGCTCCGCACAGCAGCAGCAGGTCTCCTTCACAGGTGTAAACCCAGCGCGAGCGTCGTAGCGCTCATGTTGCGTTTAAAGGCGGCTCGGAAAAACAGGTTACAACATGTTAACGGATTAAACAGTTTTAACTGCAGATAAAAGTGACAGAGGACACAAATATGGGAAGTGTGGAAGCCTCTACATAGGACATAGGAATAACAGAGAGTTGGCCATTCTAAGGTAAAAACCCAGCGCATACAGTGTTCATGTTTTGTTTTTGTTTTTTTCATCCAGACGGCTTCCCGCGCCCCCCCTGCAAGGACACGGCCCCCCCCCAAGGGGGCGCGCCCCACAGTTTGGGAACCTCTGCTGTACACGAACCAGTTAAAAACTAAACAGGATTATATTAAAATTCAGATCAATCTGTATGTACATGATTGAATTGTTTAGTTTTAACTGCTTATTTTGGCGGGAAAAGGTCCAGTTCAATAATTTTATCTCGAATGGGATCAAAACAAATAAGATTATTGTAGATTTTTTAAGAGACACATAGAAAGTTAAAAAAATGTTCATTATGAACAGTTGTGGGCAACTTCCACTAACAAACTAACAGACTACATGTAATATGAACTGAAGTTAGCACTTTAGCATTAGCAGAACTAATGTTTATGATTAGAGATTTAGGGTTAGCGCAGCTAGCTTTTTAGCTAGCAGCATAGACAGGTACATTATAATAGAGTGTCTTCAGTTACAGGCTCCTTAATACGCTGCAGTACAGACAGCAACAGGAGATCCCTCCTGCCCACAGCTAAACTCTACAACAACTCTATGAGGAAACTTGGATGAACTACATTTAGTTTCTCTTTATTATTATTATTAATAAAGTGTTTTTGAATGAAATTGTAGTTTAAAATTGGTATAAATTGGTGCCATATAAAACAAGAACAAAATAATGGAAAGAAAATGCTGCAATTTTGTCTTATACAGTGGCATAAAACTCTGGCATCCCTTCCTAAAGCTCTTCAGATATAATTGCATCATTTTGTAATAAGTAAAAAGTGCATTTCCTGGAATTGCTTCAGGCGTCGCTTTCAGTTTGGTTGCCACAGAAACCGTGCAAACATAAACACAACTTCTGCAAAGGCATCAGGTAAATAAGCACTTTGAACAAGCAACACTCAACTTTAAATGTGGGGAAAAAAGAAGAGAAAGTTCTATGTGGATGGTAAATACACAGTAGCGTTCTCAGCTTGTCATTTAAAAATATATCAGCACTAAGCGCAGCTGCAGCCTGTTGCCTGAAGTGAGAAGCTGTCTTTGAATTAAAATCTGCAGAAGATGATAAGATTTCCCCAAAGTGTGCCAGAACAGCGCTGAATGCCTCAAAATGCTATCAGCATCCACTTAATATATTCAACAAACCCTGTCAAATCATAATCCTCCCCTGCCTTTAGATGCAGTATCACTTTTTATGCTTCAGCTGGTTTTTATAGATCAGAAAAACAAGTTCATTATTAAGGTTCTCCTCCATCTGAGGGAAATAAATAGGTTTTAATTAACAAACAGCTGCTGTGTGCAGAGATCCTGATAAAAGGGTCAAAGTTAATGGACTGGTGAGATTTCAGAAAGAAAGAAAAGCTGCTCTGATGATGAGACGATCATTAAAGTATGAGCAGAACCTAGTTAAAATTATTATTAGTATGACAGAATATGCAGCTCCAAACTGGTGTGTAATCTTTAAATGTCAGTAGCTAATTTTCCTTTATGTGCGCAAAACTTTGTCGATATGATGCTAAAAAACACAATTTCTCAAATGCGGTGTTTCCATTAAATAACAAAGGCAGTTAAAATCATCCAAGAATACTTCTGTTCACGCAATAAATAATTAAAAACATCATCCTTCAACTACTTACTATTGTGTTCTTCATCATTTCCACCAGTAGTAACATCCTGTTGCTGATCATGTGACATGTGTGATATGTAAAAATAGTTTCCATTGCAGTTTTGCAAAATACCATTTTGATACAGAAAAACCTCATCCTAATGCAAAACCTTTCATTTATTTTTTTATTGCAGTGTTTTCATTAAGCAAATTTATTTTAAGAATTCCAATTCACGCAATTTTACAGTCAATGGAGACACAGATATGGTGTTATCAACTAAGAGCGTCACTGGCTGCGTTTCCGTTGATCTTAAAATTACCCAAGCTATTACTAAATTTGCTTAATTTTGAAAACGCATAAAACGTTTTTGTGCTAGGATGAAGTGGTTTGGTTTATTTCATAATGCTAATGGAAACACTTATTTCGCATCACGAGTCACATGATCAACAACAGGTTGTTACTTCTGGCAGAAACATCAAAGAAGAAGACAACAGGAAGTGGCTGGAGGATGATGGCATTCCATGATTTTTAACAATATATTGTGTAGACAAACTTACTCACGTGTGATTTTAATTGCATTTCTTACTCAATGGAAACATTGCAATTGGTTTTTTGATGTTAGCAAAATATTAAAGTTTTGCATACATTTGTAAAGGAAACGCAGCTTGTGTTTCCAGTAACCATAAAATTACGAAAATAAATTGACTTAATGAAAATGCATCAATTTTGAGACATAATAAATCTTTTCGGAGCTAATATGAGGTGTTGTTTCTTGGCTTTATAGACTTTGTTTTATTTGGCAAAACATTTTTTGGCATCACATGGATCATGTGATCAACAACAGGATGCTGCTACTGGAACAAACGACAAAGAAGACGACAGGAAGTGGTTGGAAGATTATGGCATTGCATGTTTTTTAACAACTTATCAAATGAACAAATTATTCACTTGTGATTTTAATAGCATTTTTTATTTAATGGAAATACCACAATTGCAAAACGGTGTTTTTTATTGTTTTTTTTTAATGGAATAACAAATTTTGCGTATATTTGTAATGGAAACGCAGCTTGTTTGCACCTATTAAAAGTCACCTCACATCAAACATCTCCCTGCTGGCACATGCAGGGTCTGTGAATTCAATTTGAATTTATGACATTTATGTTGGATTCAACTCTTCCCCTCCTCTGTTTCTCATCACCTGTCTCCTGTCTTGACTGTGAAATCCCCAAAGCGACTGAGTGCTGCTGGGTTTGGAAAGTCAGGAAAGACGAAACCCACAGAAGGAGAACAGCAGAGGAGAAAACGGCTCATAGTGGAGATGCTAAAAATCCACTTTCTGAAGGGAAAGACCCAACGGCAAAATTTTTGCCATTTCAAACTGAACAAATTTAGCCTGTTTGTTTTTTATTTAAAGGAGATTAATCAAAACTCTTGCAATTTTCTGTTTGTAAATAGTTTGAGTTATTTATCCCATCATAAGAGAAAAAATGGTGGATAATTTTCAGTCATATTTTCACCATGGTATTTAATCATTTATAAATGTCACAGTTTCAAACTAAATTTTTAATTAGAGATCTAAATATTTACCTCCAAACCATATATTTGGTTCGCAAGCTATCCACTTAAATTTAGTTTCAGTCTAAAGCTAAATAGACTGAAGTTAAACATTTAGCCTGCTAGTTTAATACCTAATAGCTTAATGAGCCCTTTGAATTGCCTTGTTGCTGAAAATGTGCTATATAAATAAAATTACCTTACCTTACCTTAATATTTATATTGAAGCTAACTGTTTAATTTACAAACTGAATACTTATTTAGCTAGCTAGATTTGTAGCTTCAAACTAAATATTTAGTTAGCATGCAGCCACAGATTCATTATTAAGGAGCAGAATTAGGATGATGGTACTAAAAATAAAGATTTTTTACTTTTTTCTCTGAATTTTCAGAAAAATCAGAATTCTGAGATTTAAATTAGAATTCCTATATTCGCATCTTTTTAAGAAAGATACATATGGAGACCTTTGTAAAAAAAAATTACTCTGAAATGATAAGATATCTCTGCTTTCGACAAAGCCATTTTTTATTTATTTTTGTTTTATAATTCTCTCAATATTTAACATTTAGTAGGATTAAATACAAAATTTGCCTTTTAAGTGTTTTATTTACAGTTATCCTGCTGTTTTCAGTTGCTGTTATTTGTAGGCCTGCTGCTAGTAAACACGTCCATAATGACCTCTGCACAAATTTGGCACAGTAACCGTGGTACGGCCTCAGCAGTGATGTATTCCCGTGGATGTGGATGTGGACCACGCAGCGGACAGGCGGCCTGCATGTGCCGCAGGCCAGCAAAGAGGGGATTGCAGAGGCATTTCTGCCAAGAGGATTAAGAGCCAGCTGCTGGGTGGATGTGTAGCATCCACTGGCCCAACACCGATTGCGCTGCAGCTTTAACCCAATGAAACCTTGTTCTTTCGCTCTCATTTCGCTCTGTTTTATTCCCTCTTTTGTTTGCTTCAGTCTCTGCGTCTCGGCTCCGCTCCGTCTTTGACATTTCCTTAATGCACGTTTTCAGTCGACAGGGATTTGGCTTTGCCTGTCACAGCACAGCGCTACTCTATTAATCCAGTTTGGGTTTTATTTTTTCATTTATTCTGTCCCTCTTTCTGCTCATGGCCTAAAAATGTATACCTAAGGTACAAAGAGACTGGTGGCCATGTTGGAAAGTAACACCTTGGTCACTTGGTGCAAAACTTACCAACTGGCTGCAACGTATTATAACCAGAATTAGATAGTAACTAGTTACATTTACTTGAGTAATCTGTTTGGAAAAAATATACTTTTTGTATTTTTATGTAAGTAATTTGTAAACCACAGCAGAGTCCAGCCTGTTGCCTAGCAACCCATGCTGAGTTCCAGCACATTTTAGTCAGCTGGTTTTACTGCTGCACAATGGCTGCTGGAAAAGACAAGTGTTTTTGTTGTTTACTTACCACCCAGAAATTGCTTGTCACGTTCTTGTTGGTTGTGCAGCAGGTTACCCTTGTGCTTTTCAAAGATGTACGGTTGCATAGTTGTGCATTTGTTTGCAACCATTTTCATGTGTAAGTGTAAATGCTGAGTTGGGGATTTATATTCCCTGGCTAGCCAAATAAAACTTATTCACAGCTGCAAATGTCACAAGACATCTTGAAAAAGGACAGCTTATAATTTTAGATAAATATCAACTATACTATAAACTAGCTATCATTTTTTAAAAGTCACACATTAATTTCTATGTTTAGAAGTTAAAATAAAGCTATAATAAAATTTAGCAAAAACAGAATAGGTCTTCTTTTTCTGTGGGATAAAAAAAAAAAGATCCCAACATAATGGCACGAAAATCAGAACTAAAAAACCAATATTAGTACTTTTAGTGTTATTTTTGTGAAAATTAAATGCAAATATTCCAGGAAGAAAATGAAAGACAGCTAATAACCTGTTTATTATTATATCTAAATTTAAAAATATTAGCTGCTTCTTTTTAACTTTTATCCAAAGTTATAAGGATCCATTGTGATTACAATGATTTGTTTTCTGTAACATATAAAATATAAAATGTAAAAAGCTTTTTGTATTTACTTGAGTTGTCTTTGTTTGATATTAAAATGTGTTTCTGATTGGAAACATTTAAGTGTGACAAAACTGTAAAAACAAAAGAAATACGATAGAACGATAAAACGATAGAAAAAACACCAATATTAATGAATCTGTCATAATGTTTTCTGTTTTGAATCACCAGATCAAGAAGAGACATCAGAATGGAGGGAGGAGGTGGTCAGAAGTCTGGAAGGTAAAATTAAAGAAAAATGCCTTTTCTTTCCTTTTTTTTTAGATCATTTAAAAGTTTATATTTCATAAACATTTTGCTTTTATTTTCCAAATAGTCCAATTTACAAACGAAGCCCAGACCTGACGAAAAACCCGATGACAAAATCTGAGCAGCTGCTGAGAATAGATGATCACGATTTCACCATGAGGCCGGCGTTTGGAGGTTGGAAACTACTTTAGAAATTAAACACTACACTAAGATCCAATCAGTGTTATTCTGTTTTCGTTGTTTTTGTTTTTACCTTTTAGTCCCGCAGGCTCTAATCTCCCTGAAACCTTAAGAACGCCATTATCAGCAGCAGCTCTGCTTCATGTTTTCATTTTGTTTCCACTGGAAGGATTTGTTGAACGATTATGCAAAGATAAACACAGACTGGAAGACAGTAATTATATAATGTATTTGTTATCTTTTACACTGCAAAAACACAAAATCTTAGCAAGTAATTCTTGTCCAGTTTTTAGAGCAAATATCTTAGTAAATTTAAAATCAGACAAAACTGACTTTTAAGTAACTTTTCAACAAGATGCAGGAGCTTGTTTTAAGTTAATAATTTCTTAATAACGACGAAAATGTTCTGCTTCTTTTTAATCTACCAATACTGTATTAGTCGGTTATTGGTAGATTATTTCATTTATAGCAAGGGAAAATGTTTTGCTCTAAGTGAAATAATCTGCAATGGAACTGGAACTTTTTCATTAATATTAAGGGATTATTAACTTAAAACAAACTCCTGCATCTTGCTGACAAGTTACAAGTTAGCTTTGTCTTATTCCAAGTGTTCAATGGAAACTAGACCAAGAATACTTTGTAAGGTTGTGTGTTTTTGCAGTGCTGCTTCTCCTTTGATGCAAAAACAAAAGCCTATTTTAGCAGCAACAAATCAGCCGTGACCGCTTTTAATTTGCAACATGTGGTGCTTGATTTTTTTTTTAAATCACAACAATCTACAAACACAAAGTGATGCTTTGCAGGATCGTGTTTGTGATGTCCAATGTGAAGCATGAAGAGGAAAAGAGAGTTGTGTTGCATCAGCTTTTATCTGTTATGACCTGATTGTTGTTTTCTGCTTGTGGGAATTTGATGATGCAGAGTACAACGGCTGAAATAGGTCAAAGATAAATCAAAGCCTGACTGTCACAGCTGTAGCACGAGCATTTGCTGTATGCTAGTGTCTGTGCCATTGTTTTTTTTTTAATGCTGTTTCAATAAAAAAATAAACAAATCCAGTGAATATGAGCTACTTTCTCAAAAATACAATCTGTTTTAGAGTTTTTCAATGAAAGTTTTGTCATCTGAAGCATAAACGTTACTAGAATCAACACAGAAATAATTTTTTTAAGATTGTAGCCAAAATAATAATAAAACATTTTTTTTTTACCATTCTGTAAGAATAAAAGCTGATTGAAGATTTAAAAATAATCAAGATTTGGCTTAGTGAAAAGAATAATTTTTGTGTACAGTGGTCTAACTCAAACTTTTATGTCCTATTATAATCTAAAATAAACAACACAGCAGTACATGTAATACTAAAAACATATATATAATAGCATTGAATAACACAAACTAAATGCTATTACATACAGAAAATAATTTCTTTATTGTAGTTGTTATGCAAATAATAGATTAATCTCTTCTTGCTTCTTGCTGCCATTGCTGGGGAAATATAAGATATCAAACTTGTTAACTGTAATTTCAATTTAAACCACAAGTGATGCTTTCAAATAGTTAAAGTAATATGGCACATTTAAATACCAATCTGCAAACCTAAATATTTCTTTTTTAAGTTTATTTCTCCTGTAAAGTTAAAATCATCAGCTGTAGTAACACTGGTATGATGTAAGTTAATTACAAATTATGTTAATGACAGCAGGTATGTTACACACATAGAGAAGCGTGGGAATGATGAGGTATCTGGTGTTGACATGTTAGTATTCGGGGCCCCAAATGAAAATCTGCTTTGGGCCCCAAAAAGGTTTTTCACCTGCCCTGGCGTTGCCATAGTGACAGTACATTAGGCACAGTAATGGTGTGTTTTATGAAAGAAAAATTAAGCAACATTAGTTTGGAAGGTCAGAAAAAAACAATTATGTATTAGAAAGCTGCTTTAATGACTAAAATAAAACTTTATTTCGACTAAACCGTAAAATCAGCTGGCTGGCTGAGAGGAGAGCTTTTGTAGGTAAAAGGTCGCAATGATTACGTGTTTAGTTACATTGTTTCTTATCTTCTAGAAAAGCAGAAAATAATATTTTGAAATTGTTGTTTTTCAGGTCCTCCAATACCTGTTGGTGTTGACGTTCAGGTGGAAAGTATTGACACCATCTCAGAGGTGGATATGGTAAGCATGACAAAGCTCTTTGGGTTCATAAAAATCATTTTAAATTAAAAAAGAAGTCATGAATTACAGGTTACACTTCATTTATTGGACATTAAGAACTCCATGTAATGGTAAAAAAAAAAAAAAAAAAAAATAAAATGGACTAAACTGGAAGTGATCTGTGCCACTGAACCGCCATCTTGGTAGGCAAGCTCAGCACAAATCGTGAATGAAACAAAGTTAATAGCTGTAATGTACTTACATTGTTTATAAGTTAGGTAGGAATTAGAAGAGAGCTAGTTCAAGGCTTGTGGCTTGTTTATTGTTGTCATAGCAACAATAAACTGTCAAAACAGTTAGTTTGGATACCTACCAAGATGGCTGTCAACTACAAAGTTCCTATAAGTGTGACGTCACATGAGAACTATGTATGTCTGATGACATCACTAAAATAAACGTGTTTCTGTGTCTCTGATGCTGGAAGTCATAAGCTCTTTTGTTTGGAATGTGTTGCACATTTGGTTAGCCGTTAGTGTTAGCGTTGATGTTGCTATCAGCTACTGATCGGATGTAACTGGCAGCCATATTCTAAAATTATATATTGAAATTTTTTGAAATAGTTGAAACCATTTTAGTAAGAAAGTTTGAGTCTATAGATTTGAAATTTCTATTAGAATCATCATTAATGAGATTATTAATGTTTTGGGTAAAAAAACATGCAAACCGCTAAAACAAAATGTAAACATTGTCCAAAAGCTTGTTTTACATTTTATCACACAAGCTAACCTAATGTTAAGAGTTTTTAAAGCATATTTTCAACAGGTTGTTCCTGAAAATGAAATGTGTATCATTTTTTTTCAGTTAACATCCATAACCTTTATGGAAGATTACATCTAAACCAGGAAGTCAATTTAAATAAAAAGTTATGTTTTTGTGGCCCATCTGTGTCTTATCTCATCAGAATTTCACTTATGAGACAAATTTGAATGTTTGTCCTGCCAAGAGGACAAACATTTTGATGTTTTATTAGTTTTTGTTTAATATTTCTGTTCCTGCAGGACTTCACCATGACTTTGTATCTGCGTCACTACTGGAAAGATGAGCGGCTGTCGTTTCCCAGCACCAACAACCAGAGCATGACTTTCGACAGTCGTCTGGTGAAGAAGATTTGGGTTCCTGACATGTTTTTTGTTCACTCTAAGCGCTCATTCATCCACGACACCACCACTGATAACGTCATGTTGAGAGTTTACCCTGACGGCAACGTGCTCTACAGTCTCAGGTAAGAACAAACTTATTTTTACTCTTCTTCTGTCTAATTTATAAAGCAAAGAGCAGTAAGGATGCAGGTGTGTAACCACATCTAATGCAACAGTTTGTACATGTTTTCAGTGTAGCTGTTTTCTTTATCTTCCTTACTGGGACCTTATATGTAAGAAGCTAACTTGTTTTTTATGAAGGTAAAATAATCTGAGAACAATACTTAAAAAAAAAAATCCAACCTTTAGTCTGAGAACATTTAACTGGTGAGGTTAAAAATATGGCTTTATTTTTGATAATATCATCAGGCACACTAGGGAAATAAAAAAAAAAAAAATTATGAGATTAAAGTCATAATATTATGAGAATAGTCATAATATTATGACTTTATTCTTGTAATATTGCAACTATATTCTCAAAAATTCTGGTTTTATTTTCATATGAGTTTTATTCTTGTATTATTTCCACTTTATTCTTGTACAACTCAATTCTTGTAATACTCTGATTTTATTCTTGACATATGACTTGATTCACATTTTAACTTTATTCTCGTAATTTTATTTTTTACATTTTTTATTTATGCTACATCATACCTAACGATTTCACATAACATATTTTAGTAAGGTAATTTTACATGTGGTGGGCAACATAGTTTTCATGTTAGTTTTGTTATAAAGCTGGTTGGAGTCGCATTGTTTTACCCTCATCCTGATTTTTTCTTGAATTTCTCTGGTTCTGGCAGAAATATTACTTTTTTGATCAACTATTCCCTCTGATTTTGGATGATATGCAGCTGGAAGGATTTTTGCAGATTCTTTTTTTGCTACTTTTTGGCATTTGTTATGATGCGTAACCATAGCAACAAGGTGGTTTTTGAACTGGGAACAACTATTAACATCACAAAAGTCCAAGAAATGGTGCTAATATAAGTTAGAACAATGTTTTATTTCCCTTTAGAGATTAATAAAGTATTGTTGAATTGATTTAAATTAAACTGAATCACCATGCAACTGGTCTTGGGATCCTTTTAAGAAATTAAAATACCAAGGGTGGCAACAATAAAGCACACTTATGGTAGAATTGGGTGAAGATTTAAAAATAGTACTTTCAAATAGATAAAAACAATATTTTGACTAATGATTCTTGTTTACTCAACCAATAATTAGGGTCAAAAGTCTCCACTGATGCAGAGAGATTGAGTATTGGCAAAATGTACATGTATAAACCATTAATAATAACAGGTGGATCAATAATTGTGATGCAGTTAACTGTAAAAAACTTAACTTTTTTCTTTATGTTGGATTTTTCCCATATAAATAAATGTACTCAAATTAAAACATTCAATTTTAATTGGGTTATGCTGCTCTAGAAAACCCTCAATTGCATTTTAAAGCTTTTGAACCACTGTTGGAAGTGTGAAAGGTGCTTTGAATAGGATGTTCCTCTGCCAGCACTGCAGGTGAAATGGAGGCTGAGAGACTTTTGTTGAGCTGCAGGTCTTGTTTGAATATAAAGGATATCTCACAGTTTCACAGTGGAGATAAATCAAGGAGGCTTTTGTAAGTCAGTGAGTCATGATAGTGAAATGACTCACCCCTTTAACACCTGCAGATAATTAATACTGATTACATTTTAAAAGGTAATAGGAAATTTTTAACACAGCAATACAAGACACTAATTAGTTTCCTTGTTGTAAAACAGAGCAGCTCCAGGTTTAGTGATTCTCATCTGATATTCAGATGAAGGTTTGTTGTCTTGGTTTAAGGCGGATCCACTTTGTCTTTTCTGCAGGGTCACAGTCACTGCCATGTGCAACATGGACCTGAGCCGCTTCCCCCTGGACACCCAGACCTGCTCACTGGAGATTGAGAGCTGTGAGTGAAATGATTTCCAGGGGCAAAGTTCAACATTTCAGACCTGGGTCTTTTGTTTTACAGCTGGGGTTTAAGATAAGACGTGAGATGAAATAAGCTGCTTTATTTTGGAGCCTCAGCCAATGATTACTATGATCTATTTTCAACTTTTTTGTTTGGAAATACCAAAAACTAAAACAGCATTCATTCTCAAGATAATTTCTCTCTCAGAACTTAATGTTAAACTGCAAAAAAACATAAAATCTTATCACATATTTTTAGTTTCTAGTGAAAATGTCTTAGTACAAAACTCAAAGTTACTTTCAAGTAGCTTTACAGCGAGATATAGGAGTTTAAGTCAATAATTCTTTAATATTGATCTTAAAAAGTACTAGATACACTAAGATTATTTCAGATATAGCTATACATTTTTTCCCTGGCTATAAGTGAAATAATCTGCCAGTGTAACTAGTTTTTCATCAATATTAAGGAATTATTGACTTAAAACAAGCTAATAAATCTTACTGAAAAGTTACTTATGTTAGTTTAAATGTACTAAGAGATTTCCACTAAAAACTGGACAAGAAATACTTGCAAACAGCCAATTACACAGTCAGTCTGATGAAATGTTCTGGAAATCAGATTGGGTTGCTAGGTGACGGGCGGAGTTCTGCTGAGGTTGCCAGGCAACGGGCTGGGCCTTGCTGGGGTCACTAGGTCACGGCACAGTGCCTGCTGATTTGTCAAGTTACATTCCATAGATTTTTGAAATGGTTCATATTCCAGATACCAAAAAAATAACTTGCCAAAAAGCAGTTGTTTTTGTAAAGTGCACGATCTGTCTTTAGGAGCAGTACGAACTGAAGTGGAAGTACAAAAACGTACAAAAGGTGAATGTTGCACAATAGGTTTCCTTTATAAATAATTAATGAAAATAGAATTAAAGCACCTGCAGCACAGGATAACTCCAAACTGAAATAAAGTCAGATAAACTGACACTTTTACTCTGGTTACATATTTGCAGTAAAATTTCCCCTCATCAGAAACATTAAAGATTTCTGCCCGACTCCAGAGTATTCCTGTCGATTTCTTTTCCACAGATCATGTTGCCTGACAGTAATTTTTAATATCATCACTTCAGGAGCTTTCTTCTTGCCCCCCGCTGAGACTGACATGTCCGCTTTGCATACCAGATATTCCCTGAAACCCCAGATCTGCTGCGCCATTAAAGTTTTAAGACTTTCTGCCGCTTTACTTTTAAGTCCGTCTCATGTAAAACTTCACGCTGAATAAAGAGCAGCATGTAGATATCACATAGCAGGTAGAGTCCGTAATGCCTGTTGATGGTAGTTCACATTTAGATCCAGATTCAGATTAGCTTTATGTAAATTTACATTGCAAAAAAGGAAACAAAATAAAACACAATTTTACAAATAACAGAAAAGCACATAATTTGAGATTATCATTTATTCCACAGTTTCGCACCAATAATTGAAACACATCTAGATTTTACTTTGAGGTTTGTTCAAATATCAACAAACCTTGTTACTATATTCACTGTTTCTTAACACAAGTATTTTCTTAATTTCTTAAGACTGCTGGTATTTTTATATACATGATGTAGGGCTGGACAATATGGTCGCAAAATGTATCATGACTGATGAAATGGGCGTTTCATATCAGTCTATTGATAGTTATTGATTAGTTTTTTGTTTTAAATATCCAAAATACTGCCAAACAGTTGGCATAACTGTTCCTGTTTTCCCTCTGCAGTTTTTATTTTTAAGCAGTTCTGAGGCACAGCAGCAAAATTATAAACTGCTGCTGCACAAGTTGTTGCTAGGTAACAAGTTCCTCAGGAGGTTGTTGCTAGGTACCCAAAGAGTTAGTGCATTAATTCAAATTTAAAAGTACTTTATTGATCCAAAAGGGAAATTAATAAGTGTTAAACGCCACTAACCGAGCTTAGCTAGCCCTGGATCCAAGTTCACTTTATTATTCAAATGGGTTAAAATTGTTTTGCAACTAAAAATGTTTTAAATTTTCTACATTTCCCCAAACAGATGCGTACACAGATGACGACCTGATGCTGTACTGGAAGAAAGGAAATGAATCTCTGAACACGGACGACAGAATATCTCTGTCCCAGTTCCTGATCCAAAAGTTTCACACCACCACAAAGCTGGCGTTTTACAGCAGCACAGGTAGCTGCCACACACCTGAATTAAAACTTCATTTCTCATGTCACTTTGAACAAAAACAATCGGGCATTTCATACAAGAACCCGCCGTTTGCAGAGCAGAAACAGAAGAACACGGCAAAACCGCAAACTATTATCAAGTAGTTTTAGTCCAGTTTCTACTACAAATGTCTTAGTACACTTGAAATAAGGTAAAATTAACATAAAATAACTTTTCAGCAAGAAATATTAGCTTGTTAAGTCAATAATTCCTTATTAATGAAAAAATTTGTTCCATTCTCAGATTATTTCATTTAAGACATTTTTCCTGCATTATCAGTAAAATAAAGCAAGAACTTTTTCATCAATATTAAGGAATTATTTACGTAAAACAAGCTTCTATAACTTGCTGAAAGATACTTCAGTCTTACTTTAAGTGCAGCAAGATGTCTGCACTAGAAAACAGTTGGTAAGATTTTGTGTTTTTGCAGTGAAGAATCCATAATCCTTGCAGCGAACTGAAGCAGACAGGCTGTTGTGAACCTGCTGTGCTCTGCAGGAAACCCACTGAAAGCTTTGCACTGTTCACACAGCCACATGTCACTTTCCAGCGACTCTGCGCATGAAAAGGATTTTGTGTGCCATCTTTCTCTGCCAAAGTTGCAGGGACAGTTCCTGAAGTGTTGACACGGCTCATCAGCTGCCTGACAATGTGGGAATAACTGGCGCCGTCTCTTCTTTTGTGCTGCAGGCTGGTACAACCGTTTGTACATCCACTTCACCCTGCGGCGCCACATCTTCTTTTTCCTGCTGCAGACGTACTTCCCCGCCACGCTGATGGTCATGCTGTCCTGGGTTTCCTTCTGGATCGATCGCAGGGCCGTGCCTGCCAGGGTGCCACTAGGTAGATATATTTTACTAAAAATAGCCTCGATTAAAGCGTTCTCAATAATTTAGGTACATGATTCGAGTGTTTTATTGCCAACGCTGCAAATATTACATACACTAAATTAAATGTATATCTCTTGATATTGGTACATTTTCTATTATGCATAATTGGCATTTTTATACTTTCATTTGGGTTTCTACCACTTCAAAGTGGTTAAAAAAAACATCCAGCCGGTTTTTGGCAACAGGTTAATGTTTTTTGGTGTCTGGAAAATGAGCTGTTTCAAAAACGTCCCGATTGTTGAGTCTATAGGACTGTCGCATTACGCAATAAAGCAGTTAATTCACTTTTCATGATTTATCATATTTTCTCTTTTTTTTTTCCCTCTTTCTACCAAAAATTGGAGAACAAAAGTCTGGTCTAGTCAAGTCACTCTGTACTGTTACCTAGCAACCCCAGTTGAGCCCAGCCCGTTACCTAGCAACCCAAGTGAAGTTCCAACACGTTTGGTCAGCTGGTTTTACCACCGAATGCACTGTACAATGGCTGCTGGAAAAGACAAGTGTTTTGTTGTTGACTTACCATCCAGAAACTACTTGCCATCTTCTTGTTTGTGCAGGAGGCTCCAATTCTGCTTTTCAAAGATGTACAGATGTATAATTGCACATATGTTTGCAGCCATTTTCACATTTGAGTGTAAAAGTTGAGCAGCATATTTGGTCACAAGAGGCCCTAAAACAGCTTATTATAGGCAGAACTAGCAGAGTGGGAGTTCACCACCCCCCTCTGACCTGATTAGTCTTCATTTGTCTGATCAGACTCAACATGAACTCTGTATCTAACTGTTTCAATGTGGCATGCTAATGAATCCAAAATAAGTTTATACCTTTAAACAGTGAAAATTACTGCCTCGTCTCTGCTTTAAACATTACACATCCTAAAACATAGTAATGTTGCACCTTGCTACAGGATTATAAAGTGAGAAAAATCTGATAAAAATCCTATTTCTTGAGGTCATGAACGCTGCAACATGAAATAAATGAACAGGAGAAAAGAAATGCAGAGGCTGTTCATAAAGCTAAAAGGTTTTTCGTCTTCAGGAAGGTTGGATCCTTCAGGGGTTTTTGTATAAGACACTGATGTGATTCTTCTGAGAGTCAGAGCTGAAGAAAACATCCACATAAAAATGTCTAACTCAAAGAATCTGAGCTATTCCTCCATCAAAAACAGTGTTAGACCTCAAGTAATTCACCTTTTCCATCATTTTTAAATATAATCTAAATAAATATTAAACTGTAACTTTTAGGATATCCTATTCAAAATCTAAATGCTCTCGTTTGCTCAGGTTACAAACAGGATATACTAAACAGATGGTTAGAAAAAAACAATGTGTGGGGGTGCCAAAACTTTCTCCAGCTGAACAGAAACAGAAATGATTGTCTTTGGACCTAAAGAGGAACGATCTAGTAAAAGCACAAAGCTGCAGTTATTAAAGCTGAAAACTAGAGATCAGGATGAAATCTGGGTGTAGTGATGGTCTCTGACCTGAGCCTTCAGTCACATAAAGGCAGTTACAAAATCAGCCTTCCATCACCTGAAAAACATTTCCAGGACTAAGGACAAATGTTGAAACAAGATCTAGAGAAACTCGTCCATGCGTTTATCTTTCATTGCATTGATTGCTGCAACAGTGTCTTCACAAGTCTGCCTGAAAAAATAAAAACCCACCTGTTGGTAAATGAACCATAATAAATGAAACGTTGATCGACATATTTGATGTTCTCATGAAGTTTGTAACCGTCTTCTCTTCAGGTATCACCACAGTGCTGACCATGTCCACCATCATCACCGGGGTCAACGCCTCCATGCCTCGCGTGTCCTACATCAAGGCCGTGGACATTTACCTCTGGGTCAGCTTCGTCTTCGTCTTCCTCTCGGTGATCGAGTACGCGGCTGTGAACTACCTCTCAACTGTGCAGGAGAGGAAAGAGAGGAAGCTGAGGGAGAGAGTAAGTTATTTCTGTTTGCTCGTTTGTTGGATTTTTCTCCATGTCTCCTGCCTGCTGTGAAATATAAATAAGATGATTTTGATCTGATGGCAACATTTTTCAAACTAGAGAGTTTTTAAATATTTAATGTTGGTTTTGTAAGTGAACATAAAAAACACAAAAAAGCAAAGTTGGAAATTGGAGCTGGGTTTGACATTACACCCAAAGTCACAGCGTTCCAGTTAAGGTAGTTGGAGATTTCAGAGATAAAAGTTCAAAAGACAAAATAAAATGTTGTTCCACATTCTAGTTGCTTTAGTTTTCTAGTTAGCCTGGAGTTTTTTTACTCGGTTAATTTTACTACAAAGGTCTGGGATATTTTCCAAATGTATAAAGGAATGCGATTAAAAAATAAGGTTTTCATATACTTGAAATATTTGCCTACACACAATTTATGAGATTTGTCAACATCAATCTGTGCAGTTGCAGTTAATAAGTTGGTGACATTTCAATATTTCATTAATACTGCTGAGAAACACAATCCATTTTTTTAACCAAAACTATAATGTTTTAAAAAGCACATTTTAGTCAACATCAGATTAGAAAACACAGGAAAAATTTAAGTTTTGTTACTGTGATGAAAGAAAGCCTGTTTAAATTCAGACATTTAAATCAAGTTCATTGATGCATCAGTCGAGGCTGACCTGATTTGTGGGGAAAATATTTCCAAACTGGCAGAAATGAGCATTAATGATTCATGTTCGTTGCCAATAAACAGATAAATATTTTCTGAATCGTCTCTCTTTAAGCTCCTCAGAGGGCTACGGTAAATTATTTCTGGGAATGCGGAGCTGCTATTCTTCATGTGCCAAATGTTGTGGCATATGGAGCCAAACTGCCCACATACCTCGAGGAACATTTCCAGCAAAAACATATTCAATAAATCTTCCTCAGCAAACTCATATCAATGCCCTTAGTGTGATACAGAAATAAGCACACTTTATTTATTACCTTTGACAATAAGGAACACATTATGCAACTCACTTTTTGTTCTTCCATTTGGGTTTCTACTGCTTCTAAAAACATCCCAAGTGCTTAAAAAAAAAACTCAGCTTTTTTTTTTTTTTGCAATAAGTTAATGCTTTTTGGTATCTGGAAAATTAAACTACGGACTGTAATGCCACTACGGAATGAATGTAATGGCACTGCCCCTCACTGAGTGACCCCCAGTGAAGCCCAGCCAGTTACCTAGCAACCCCAGCAGAGTTCTATCTGTTACCTAGCAACCTCAGCAAAGTTCCAACTGTTACCTAGCAACCCAAACAGAGTTCCAGCAGGTTTAGTCAGCCGGTTTTACTCCTGGCAAAGAAAAATATTTTGTTGTTGGCTTGCCATCCAGGACCCACTTGCTCCATTCTTGTAGGTTGTGTAGGAGGCTCCACTTCTGCTTTTCAAAGATGTATGGTAATTGCACATTTTTTTGCAGACATTTTTATGTGTGAGTGAAAATGTTGAGGGGCATGGTCTGCAGCAGCTTATTTGGATTTAAAGTGGCAAGACACCTTAAAATAGCTTATTCCGAAAGGAGCTCAAATACAACAGAGTATTAGGGTTATACTAATGTTTATAAACAAATAAAATTAAGAGCAGTCGTATGACAATAAAGTTGAAATACTACAAGAATAAAGTTGTAATACTACGAGAATAAAGTCTTAACTATGATTCTCATAAAAATATTTTATTTTTGTAATTTTTATTTTCTTAGCATGGCCCTAATACCCTGTCATACTCATAACGTCAGAACAGACCAGACTAAAACCTCATTATTTAAGAATAATGTTGAACAAAACATTTATGAAATGACTAAAGAGTTGATCACCTTTAAATATATGTGATTTATGCACGTTTTACCTTTTATATTTAGCTGCCGTGCACATGTGGCATCGGCAACCCCGACGAGATGATGATCGACCCACAGATCACTGGCTACGGCTCCATGGACGTCAACACCACGGGGAATTATGGGATACCTGAGAACGGCGGGCGCCAGGAGCGAATCCTGGCCCAGGTGGCGCTGAACGACCCTCAGATCACGGGTCAGGTGAAGGCGTCCCGAAGCTACGTCAACATTTGGATAGACACCCACGCCATAGACAAATACTCCCGGGTCGTCTTCCCCGGCGCGTACATCCTCTTCAACATCATTTACTGGTCCATATACTCGTAAACTGGGATGCTTTAAATAGAACGCGGTTGGATTGCCGACGGGCTAGTTAGCCGGCTAGATAGCCAGCAGGCTAGTTAGCCAGCCGGATGGCTAGCTAGCTGGCAGGCCATTTAGCCGGCTGGCTAGCGCAGAAGCTAAACCGATGCTCTGTCAGGGGATAAACTGGGGATCAAAAACAGATGGAAAACTTTTGCCTTCTTGCCCCAGCCACTTAAAACTGTTGAGAACACCGTTTCATCGCTCCGTCAAATCCGTGTGCTTTTGCGTGTCTGGTGTCGATGACAACGTTGAACTTTGTGAAAAAAGTGGAAAACCGCCATTTTTTTAAAATTTCCGCTCTGCAGAAAAACTGGGCATGACAATCAACAAAGACGTGGAAAGCCTCAGGAGCAAAGTGACGCTGTTTTCAGGTCTGCTGGGAGAGAATCGACTCATTTAACAGTAAAGTGGAAAAAAACTTTAAATGAACTCCTGTTTCCAAGGTTTAAGGGAATTTATCTGCTAATACCTCTAATTCTGACTTCATAAAAACTTCAGTTTTTACTTAAATTCACATTCATGTGAAGTTTGTCATGATGCTACATGTTAAAATATTTCTATAGCGATATGGAGATTTTGATATCTAATAGAATATTTATATTTTACAACATCGCATTAGGGCCATTGTAGATAGGGAGGGAAGGGGTACATTTTCATCAATCTCAGCAATTTTCTAAAAAAAAAGAAAATTTCTGAGCTTTAAAAGAACTTGTTAGAAATATTTGACTTTTAGAAATTTTGCAAGTTTGAAAAGTCATTAAATTTGACTTCTGAAACGTAGAAATTTCTACGTTTGTAGAAAATGTTGAAAATCTCAAAATTAAAAAAAAATTAGTTTTTTTTTTCTCAAAAAATTCTGAAATTAGTCTTAAAATTTCTGAGTTTTTCCAAACAAATTTTGTTCCAATAAGTCAAAGTTTTCATGTTCAGTTCTCATGGTAGATTTCCAGATTTTCTGCATCATGACTCAGTTTATGTTAAATAAACTTTCGATCAGTGCAAATGTTTTATTGACAATCTGTTTAGGAAAATGGTTTTAAAATATCTGAATATATAAGAAGTAAATCCCAAACACCTGTTTTAGTATTTTTTAAAACATCTGTATTTCATGTTCATTTATTTTTTTTATACTGAAGCTGATCTCCTATGTTGTTGCTGTCGTGAGGCTTTGAGGTTCACTCTGACCTGTTAGTTGATAGTTTTATCTTTTATCATAAAGTTTTGGTGAAATGGAATAGAGATGCCTACGGAAGAAGATTAGGGCCATTGAAAAAAGTAATTCTGATTTATTTATTTTTTTTCTCAGAATTCTGATTTCAGAATATTAAAGTCAGAGTTGTGAAGGAAAAAATGTTTATTATAAGAAAAAAAGGTGAATTCTGAGGAAACAGAATTCTTAGAAAAAAAAATCAGAATTTTGAGAAAAATTCAGAAATCTTTTATTTTATTTTACTCACCCTAATCTTCTTCTGTAGATATTTAATTTGTAAAACGACCAAACGTACTTTGATTGAGGTAAATTAAAGATTGAGGAGAATTGTTTTATTTTCTTAAAAATGTGAAAATTGTTTGTGCTGAATTTGTCACAGCTAATGTAAATTCCCTCTTGCATGCAATATAAGAATGACGAAGAGCTTTGACATGCATGGCTGTGATTATTTTTAACCTCAATAAAAGAAAGAAATTAGAAAAAATTAAGAGTGAAAACTGAAGCAAAACATTTACAAAACTGGAATAACTTTAATTTTGAGCTCATACTTATTTATTCAAACATTTCTTTTTCTGGGTTTGAATGATTTTGCATCAAACATTAAGATTTTTTTAATTACACATCCATCTTGTTTTTTACTTGTGAGAAAGTTAAAGCAGGTTTTGGACCTAATTTGAGCGATTTAGCAGCATCACTTGAATGATCAGAATGATGCTGCCACCACCATGTTTGACAGCTAAATTAATGTTCTTTGTATTTTCTGGAAGAACCCGATCAATTTGGGATCATCAGAAGTGACAGTTTGGGTTTGAATTGTTATGATTTTGGTGCAGCTGGATGCTCCAACAGTAATAATCCAAATTATACATACAAGTAGTTTTTTAATATACAAAGCAGGCCAACATTTAAGTTTCTGGAATTCAGTTCTGTTGAAAATAGATTAAAATTTGAGTTTGTGCAACAAATTCCACCAATTCTGATCAAAAAAGTGATGAAATATCAAACCAAAAGTACCAGGAGTTTGTTTTTGGAGCTATAAAATGCTGGTCATTTATTAGAACTTGAAATTTTGGCTTTGTGGATTTAAAAAATGTCGAACAAACTAGAATTTGTGCCCCCAACTCATGCCTTTGAACTGATGCTGCTTTTACTTGCATAAATTCCCAGTATTCTGCCACTTTAGCTGTCAGTCATGAAAACATCACTAAGATCTAAATGACAGAATGTCGGCATGTAAATTGCATAAACCCCAGTTTGGTCCAACACCAAATTAAAAAAAAAGTTCAAAGTGAAGCACCCCCTGCAGTTAGGGAGGCACATTGCAGTATTAACATTCATTTGAGGACACATCGGGAGTTCCTGCTCACCTGTGAAAGAGATTCAGCTTTGAGCGTTTTCCTTCGTCTCTGCATTTCATCTCCAAGCAGCCTCAGGGGAAATATCCGACTCTTTATCACATAAAAGCTGCTGAAGAAGAGAGAGTTTAAAAACTGGAATATTATGCTGTAAAAGAGACAAAGACGGAACAACGGCAAAATCTTACCAAGTATTTTTGGTTTATAATCTCCACTGTAACACTTGACATCCGTAAAGATTCACTGTGTAAACAGATGTTTTCACTGCAAAAAACACAGATCCCAAGTGTGTTTTGTCTGATATCTAGTGTAAACATCTTATCCCACTCGAAATAAAACAAAAGTACTTTAACTTTACAGCACAACAGGAGCTTGATCAGTAGTAAAGTATTAGCTTCTCAAGCAGATTATTTTACTTTCACCAGGGAAAATTGTCTTTATAAATCAACTTTTTAAATCAATATTAAAGGATTATCGGCTTAAAACAAGCTCTTATATTGCTGAAAAGTTACTTGCAAGTTAGTTTTGTCTTATTTCAACTGCACTAAGATATCTCCGCAAGAACTAGAAATACTTGGTAAGATTTTGTGTTTTTGCAGCGCTACTGAGCTTTAGTAAACTGTGCACACCACACTTTTCCTTTTTTATTTGTAAAAGAAAAGGAATTCATAATCATAATTAATTTTCTTTCTGCTTCCCTTCTTTACACCACTTGTGTTGGTTTATCATGTAAAATACATAGAAATTTGTTTCAAAGTGCCATTAATTTCTTGTTTTAGCAGTGAAACCGTCCAGCCGAGTTCGGGGAGTTTGTGTGTCTCAATGCGAGTTGTTGTTTCTGCCCTCTGGTCACGTCTCCTCCCTCAGTGTGGCCAGCCTGAAGTCGTCCCTGACGCGCTGCAGCAGATCCGGGCAGCACAGCACATCCACAGCTGTCATAGCCAGAGCCTTGGCCGCCCGCAGGGCGTACAACTGGGCCTTCTCGGCTCCTGGCGCAGGAAGGAAAAGAAAACGCTAAAAATAGAAATCACCACATGACATGGAAGGGATCCTCATCTTTATAGCCAGAAACCAATAGTTTTATTTAGTTATGACTTTTGTCTAATTCAGTTAGTTTTTGCTAGTTAATAAAAAATAGCAAACATACTAGTATTATTAGTTAAATATTGTTTAGTTTTTATTAGCTACAGTAGTAGTTCTAGGTTTTTTAATTTATTTTCAAAAATAGATTCAATTTTTGCTGAACAACCAACTGACTGGATTTTTTCTGCCAAACTTTGCGGTGGCCATTTTGTGGATTAGCGTAGGCGCCGTATGGAGCGCCGTAATTTGCCAACAGCTGACATAAACTGCTTGTGTTGGGTGGGGGTAAATTTAACATCAGTTCGAAAGGCTAACACACATTTCTCATGTGACGTCACACTTCAGTGAACTTTGTAACTGTCGGCCATCTTGGTAGGCAGTTGATATGGAGTTACTATGACAACAATAAACAAGCCACAAGCTTAGAACTAGCTCTCACCTTGTTCATATTTAACTTATAAAGTTACAACTTATTGTTACAATTTTTAAGTACTCTATCCACCTCTGTGTAATACTAAGATAAATATCAGTGATATATACTGCAGTACTTACTGCCTAGCTAGCAAAGTTAGCTTAGCTAGTGTAGTTTTTGGACATGTAGCATACATGTATCTTGCTACATGTCCTTACTCTGCCAGTCACCAGGACTTTGTTATTCACCTGAAGAGTTTGTATGTCCTTTACAAATCCGTTTAAACATTGATTTTATGCGTCCATGGATTTAACTCTTCGTGCTCAGTAGGTAGGTAACAGTATGAGATCGGAGGATCTTATACTGTTAGCTTTATAAACATTCATTATACTTCCAGTTGTATTTTTCTCCATTAGTTACAATTTTTATTTACTTCAGTTAAAAATGTTTTTGCTAGTTTTAGCTAACTATAATATAATAATTTTGCTGTACCTGCTGCTTCGGCGTATTTCTCTGTGTGGTTTAATGCGTCAGTGCCGATGTGGAAGAACGGATGGATCCCAGGCACTATGAATGAAACGTTGCCAAAGTCTGTGGAACCTGCCGGATAATTAGAAATTCATTGTGATAATGACTCTGTGTCAAAACAATCCTGTAAACAAGACCTGCTGCTAAATGTTAGCACTGCAAAACAGACAGAGAGGACGATGTTTTTATAAAGATTAAATATTTACCAACCAGAGAAGCTGGCTGGATGCTCAGGAAACACCATGCCCAAAGCTTCTCCGTTGCCTTTATACAGGGTTCCCAGAGTTTCATTAGGCAGAATGTTGGAGTAAGTATGGGCCGGGTAGATTATCTCCACCTACAGGGACCAAAGAGAGCAGTCACAGTGTTTAAAATTTAAGATCTATAAGAATTGGCAAGTTTACTTTAAGAATGAAAATAATAATCCTCATTGTTTGATTGTTGTGTTACCATATGGTTCCAATTTCACGAGTAAAGTTTATATAGGTTTTTGAAACAGATCATTTTCCAGACACCAAAAAACATTAACTTATTGCCAAAAGAAGACATCTGAGTGTTTCTTTTTAAGCACTTAGGTTGTTTTTAGAAACAGTTGAGACCCAAATGAAAATGTAAAAACATGAATAATGTGAATTTTGGCATTACTCTTCCCCTTTAGCGCAGCCAAAGTTTTTAAAATGTAATAAAAAATGTCCAGGCTCTCATGTAGGTTAAGATCATATTCAAGCTGTTCTGTTTGTGTGTTTCCTGAAACTAGAGCCTGTTTAGATCAGCTGCAGACTGAGGAGACTTATAGCTCAAAGGTAGCAGTTATGCAACAGCGACAAACATTCTGGAGCATAATTACAGCAATGAGATAAAAAAGATGATGCTAGACGACAGGTGAGTCATGGACAACAGCTCACCTGGCAGCCTGTGGCCAGAGCCGCAGCTCTGAAGCACGCCTCGGCTTTGGCCTTCAGCTCCCAAAGATCACTGAGCCGCGGGGTTCGTAGATAAAACTCCAACTCAGAGTAGGCAGGGATGATGTTGGGCTTCACCCCTCCGTGTTTGATGATGCCTGTTAGGAAGGAAAACAAAAAGACAAAGAAAAATGGAGGATAGAAAAGAGAGCGTCCATTTTCTTTTTATATGCAAGGTTTACACTTGGCGCACATAGTTAAATGTTTTAAACTAGTGACGTTTCCATTGACCATATAATTGTGCAGCAAGGAATTACAAAATTAAATTTGTTTAATGAAAACGTACCAATTAAAAAAAAAAATAAAAAAATTTTTTTTATTATTTTTTTCCCGAAATTGCCGCATTTCCATTACGCAAATTTATTTTCGTAATTCCAATTTGCTCGATGGAAATGCAACTACTGTTTTATCAACAAAGAAATTGGAATCACAAAAATAAACACTTAATAGAAACATTTCGGAAAAAATCTCATGTTTTCCAAAAAACATCTTGTTGATCATGTGACGCATATGATGTGAAAATAATGTTTCAATTTTGCAAAATAAACCAATTTAATGTGGCTAAAAACACAAACAAAAATTTACATAATTCGCAAAACTGCATTGGGAAACACTTTTTTTGCATTACAAGTCACATGACCAACAGCAGAATGTTGCTACTGGTGGAAATGACAAAGAAGATGACAGGAAGTGGGAGGAGGATGATGGCACATCATGTTTTTTAATGCCTAATTGTATGGACAAATGTATTCATGTGTGGTTTTGTATTTCTTATTTGAAGGAAACATTGCAGTTGTAAAATGTTGTTTTTTAACATTAGTGGAATATCAACAAAATTTTGCGAGCATTTCTTAATAAAAATGCAGCAAGTGTTTTCTGGATTTCACTGAGTAGTTATAAATTTATAAATTAATGGATAACATGGTAAAAATATGGCTTTGAAAAATGAACACCCACGTTTTTCTCTCTATAGCAGGCTAAATAAACTGAAATATAGCTGTTAACATTTTTTCCCTCACCATGAAGTTTCCACTCAGGCTTCAGCTGCTGTCTGAGCGCAGAGAGGTTGCTATAAGCTAGCACAGCAGCATCCAGAGCGTTCACCCCTTCCCACGGATACGCAGACGCATGAGACGCCTTCCCGTGGTACTTCACTGACACCCTGTGACATCAACATGGTTAGTTTAGGTTTTTATTTTAAGGGAGAAAGGGAAGAAAGGAAAAGAGCTCACTCAGCGATTGTGACGGTGGGAAGGAAGGAGGCATCCTGCTGAGCCGGATGAGCCATAAAGATGAGATCCACGTCAGCGAAAGCCCCGGCTTGGATCAGGTCGATCTTTCCTCCAATCGCCTCCTCTGCGGGTGTTCCCAGAACGGTTATCTGGGATTAAAAGGGTTCAGTAGCCTGACGTAAATATCAGCTTCTATGTGCCAGTCATGATCCATGATCCACATAAGTCAATTGGCCTAAAGGGATCTACTAGGCAAAATTTACATTTTACATATTTTTGACCTTCCATTTGGGTCTCAACTACTTATAAGCCCAAGTGTTTAAAAAAAACCCACCCAACCGTTTCTTGGCAGTAAGTTAAAGATTTTTGGTGTTTGAAAAATTAGCCATTTGAAAAACTTCCAGAACATCATAAATTAACAGGCACTGCTGTGTTACCTAGCAACCCCAGCGGAGCTCGACTGGTAAAGTCGAGCTGGAGCTCTTCTTTAAAATAAAAACAACATTATGAGACTGTATGCATCTTTATCATCATGAAAGCAGAGTTTCAGACTGTTTTCATCTTTAGAAAAGTTTCTCCAACCAAGCTTCTGCTTACATCATTCTTCAAACTACCAGCTCAACCAGTAAACAGAAATGATTACTTATATATTTGATCAAAATAAAGTTTTCACAAACAAGATGATGTAATGGAGGAGACATAGAAGAATTGTATATAAAACAAAAGCTTAAAGAAGAAGGTCAGAGGTACTTCATGGCTTAAGAATTAGAGATTTTTTTCCTTGTATGGAAGTACAAAAGTGCCACAAGTCTGTCTCTCTAGATCAGGGGTGCCCAAAGTCGGTCCTGGAGGCCCGGCATCCTGCACGTTTAAGTTCACTCCCTGGTGATAGTAACAACCTTTTCAGCTTGTCAATGTTCCTCTTAGGCCTTCTAATGAGCCATTACTTGATCCAGGTGCGTGAAACCAGGGAGAGAACCAAAACATGCAGGATGCCGGCCCTTGAGGACCGACTTTGGGCACCCCTGCTCTAGATAGATAGATAGATCTTCCTGTTCCAATGCTAAGTTTCCTTTGCAAAATTAAAGTTTATTGATCATTGAGATGGTGAACATCATATTAGGGAGATCGTAGAAAGAAAAAAATAGGAGTAAATTTCCATCAAAAAACTTTCTGAAATGTTCTAAGAAAAACAAAGAAATTTCTGAGTGTGTTTAACCAGATAAATAAATAAATAAATAAATTGCTTTTGGTGAAAAATGACACAGGACATTTCTTTAGGAAGGTATCTATATGTAAAACATCATAAAGGACTTACTGACTTTTGGTACTTTTGATATTCTACAGTCGTCTGGCGTAATTTTTACTAATTAGCTAGCTTGGCAAGGGGGGTATTTATCTATACTAGCAGTGCCTTGACTTGTGCCTCTGAGACTTTGCTCTTCCTCCCAGTGAGACCAGTATAACCCAGTGAGGGACCGTTACCTGCACTGGGAGCTCCGGCTGGGTCTCCACCGCCGCTTTCAGCCCCACAGCAGCCGCAGCTCCCACTTCTGCTATTAGGTTGTGGCCGCACGCGTGCCCAATTTCCGGCAGCGCGTCATACTCGCACAGGAAACCCACGTTCAGCCGCCGGGGTTTCCCGGCGGTACCGACCGAATCCCAGCTGGCCCGGAACGCGGTCGGCAGCTCGTAGTGACTTTGGACCGTCCATGCCCGGTCCTGCTCGGAGAAGAACCGGACCAGCGCGTCGTGAGCGTTCACCTCCTCGCCAGCGACTTCCGGTCGGGTCCAGATGTCCCGACTCAGACTGTGGAGTTGCTGTTTCAATGACTCTATGCGCTGCTGGAGGGCTTCTTTCATCTGGTGCCGGTTCGCCATTCCCACAGCACCGCCGGAGGTCCAAACAGAGCCAGAGTTTTATTTTATTCCTACATTACTCTGAGAAACACTCAAGAAGTTCATTCTGGTCAATAAAGATTCATTAACGTCTCAAAGTGGGCGGAGCCTCTGACCGGAAGTAGTTCCGGTTGACCTAAATTTGATTAGCAGTAAATTACATGGGAACACTGCAAAAACACAAAATCCTACCAAGTATTTTTAGTCTAGTTTCTAGTGCAAATATCTTTCTACATCTCAGATAAGATAAAAGGAACTTATAAGTAAATGTTCAGCAGCTTGTTTTAAGTCAATAATTCCTTAATATTAATGTTAGATATTCAATTGGCAGAATATTTAACGTATAAAAAAACCTTATTCAATGCCATAAGTGAAATAATATGGCAATGTAATTAGTACTTTTTAAAATCAATATTTAGAAATCATAAGCCATCAGCTTATTTTATGTTTCACATTTTTTGCTTAAAAATTAGTTTTAATCAGTTTTATCTTATTTCAATGTACTAAGATATTCCTACTAGAAATTCGACCAGTATTTTTTTTTTTTAATGAAGTGATAATAGGGTGACAAATGGGAGAAGTAATGCTCCGTAGCTTTTCAGGGCACTACATGATAACTTTTTAAAACAAGATGTGTAAACTCTGCCATCTACTGGCCGGAACCACACTCTTCTCAAACGAAATGCAGCTTATTCACATTATTACAGAATAGAAAACGATAATATCTAGACGCTCACAGAAGCAAATCACCAACATATAATGTTTGTTTCATGGGTTCTGTGTTTGTTCATTAATGTTCTGAGGCCAGAAACAGAACAGATGAATTTATATTCAGATTAAATTACTCAAAGAGGGACTCTTCTGTATTTTATTTAGATTATAAGACAAGTATATTTTATTATTAAATTGAAATTATTTTTGTTTTGGTCTGTTAAACAAAATAGGCCTGCCAATTAAAGTCATTTCGTTTTGCGCCCATATCGTCGCTAGAGGGAGCCAGAGTCACATTTTTCCTGTTGTGGGGAATAAAATGAATAATTTTAAATGGGAATTCGTGTCAGAGGTCTAATTTATTTACAAATGCAATTAAGGACTACTTCAGTTATTGATTAATCAAATATCCTGACAATGAATCGATCAACTGAATAAAAATTTGAAAATTCAAACTTTTTTTTAAGACTTATTATTATTATTATTATTATTATTATAGAAATATACAAATAAATGCAAATAACTAATTTAATTGAGTTTTAACTAAGACAAATAAGGGTTGGAAAAATGTTTTCTTACCTAAAATGCAACAAAATCTGATGATAATTTTTGGATTAACCAATTAGAAAGCAAAGATGCTTAATATGAGTTTTTTTTATTATTATTATTATTATTATAATTATTTTTTTCAACAGAATATGAAGCAGGTGAAGCTAAAACTATGACTTGAAGAGTTTCAGGTAGAATAAAGAAGTTTTTGTTAATCTTAGATGCAAAATGTGAATATTTTTGTAAAGTTTTGTCTTAATTACAGCTCTGATGTTTCAGCAAATGGGTCTATGATTCATTTAGATAATTGATTACTAAATTAGATGATTATTTCAGTAATCGTTTAGTGCGATTAATCATAACATCAGTGTCTCACCAGCGTGTGTGACACGGAGAGCAGGTGTACTTGTGTGTGTTTTTCTGTCTGAGGTTAATTGGGATCGGCTGTCAGTCACAAGAGGAGACGTGTCGCAGGATGACACTGCCACGGCCGCCTGTCAGCCTCGTCCACGCCCCGCCGGTGGCGCCGCCATTTTGTTTCAGTTTGGTGACGGACGGACCGACCCACGCGTCACCCCGCTGACCCGGCCTCTGCTGCGGGAGCATGTGTTTGATTTCACATGTTACGCGGAGGGATTTACGTCAAATAAATTAACTTACGGCGCAGTACATTTTTGTCAAAAAAAAAAGAAAAAAAATCTACATTTTTCAACAAAAAACTTGGAAATATCTGAGTTTGAAACGTCAAAAATATGCTTGGACAAAAATCAGTAATTTTTAGATTAATCTCAGAAATTTTCTAGACAAAACTCAGAAACCTCTGAATTTGAAAAGTTGAAAGTTTGCTTCTTGAATTTTTTTAAAAATTACTTTAATCACATATATTTTACTCCTTTTTCACGATTTATGGAAAGACATTTTTTCCATACTATAATTTGCCTGTGAACTAGAACTTTTTCATCAATATTAATGAATTATTGACTTAAAACAAGCTCCTAAATCTTGTTCAAAAGTTACTTGTAACTTAGTTTGTCTTATTTCAAGTGTACTAATAAACTAACCCAAAAACACTCTGAAAGATTTGTGTTTTTGCAGTGTGTCATACAATGTTTTACTTTTTGTTGCTTCAAAACCTCAGTATTGTTTTTGAGGAACTTGATTTTTATACATGAAATTCAAGCCCTGTGGAGGGAAGTGACATCATCCTGTCTGCATCACTTTCAAATGAGATGCGTAGCGTGAAGAGTCCCAACAGAAATCCTGCCTGTTGTGCTTCATATTGCAAACTGAGCCACTCAGCGGGGCGAGCAAATCCCCCGAGGGAGAGAGAGAGTCTCTGTGTGTGTGTGTGTGTGTGTGTGTGTGTGTGTGTGTGTGCGTGTGTGTGTGTGTGTGTGTGTGTGTGTGACAGTCCCTCTTCTGTCATTATCGTCACATCAGTGCACGCTCTCTGCCTCTGCGTTCACCAAGCGGTAATACATTTACACCTCGGTTTGGAGGTGAAATTACACGCTGCAATATTTGCTTTATGTTTGTTGTGTTTGCATGATCGGGTTTAGCTTCACTTCTTCCTCTCAGATGTTACAGTATGAAAAAATAAATCAGTTTTCCTAATTTTACAGCTGCAGCAGCTTATGCATTTCAATTTCATTAAGCTAAATGAATATTCTGTTTATTTTCTGGAAACTGTTCATTTTGAATTTGTTTGCAATAAATAGGAAAGTAATTTTCTTTAGCCCTACATCTTTATGTGGGTTGAAGGTTTATTTCTGTTTTGGCAGGAAATTGACAATATTCGGATGTTTTGTTCATTTTGTTTTCTTGGTTTCCTTCTGGGTTTACCTCCATTTCTTTCTCTGTTTGGCAAAAGAAAAGCGTCTGACCCAATAACATCAGCCTTTGTTGGCAGACTGGGAACGGTGGGAGGACAAGCAGTCTTTCAACCTGCAGACAAGCCATGATCAGCAGGGCTGCTTGCAAAGTGGAGTTGAGTAAAGACAATAAATCGGTAGATTTGGTTCGGCTTGAGACCAAACTTGCAACATTTGTTGCATTTTCAGCTGCTGCGGTTTGCTTTCACATTGCACTGAATCAAATGAACTTCTTTTAAAGAACCTGTTCCCCTCCTCGCCTGTGGCGGCGCTGCACCAAGAACCATTAAAGGAAATAACACACAAACCCCTGAAGAAGACGTTGAACGCAACTTCCTTCCTTCCATCAGATTTTCGTTGTCGGAGGATTTGTCTTTTATGTTTGGTTAAAGACCACAAGCCATTTCTCCTGCTAGCGCTAGGCTAGCTCGTTTGTTTTGGTTTCATTTACCCAGAATGCCCTGCGCTGTAGTCCACTTCCTGCTTTTGGAGCGGTCTCCGGTTTGCTTGCTGTTCACATATGTATTCAAACCGCACCAGAGTTTATTTCAACCGAACCGAGAACGAGGTTTGAAAGTGGACCAGAGTTCGATTGGCGTTCCCACCTCCCCAACCGAACCGGACTTTCTAGGCAAATGGACTGGAGTTGGATTAAAGCTGATTACACAGAAGTGGTGTTTGCCTAGATTTCTACTATAAATGTTAACATCAATCATATTAAATGAGTGGAAAATGTTTCAGAAAATCAGTCTCAGACTGTTCACTCCCTTCCTCCAAATATAAGCTTTTTATTTGAATTACAGATTTTCTGGGTCTGTTTCTTGGGATTAAATTTAAGATGAGGTAAGGAACTCCTCCTCCTCCTCGTCTTCAGGGGATCCTTCATCTTTTATTACTGCCTTGAGCTATCAGCTGCAGGTTCAATACAGAGATTAACTGGGAATGTATGTTTTCTGTGTGAAGATGATAAGACCTGTGATGACACAAAGGAAAGGTCAATCTCAGCAAGACGGCAGGAGGCAGAAGAGCAGCGGAGGACGAGCTGGTCTGCAGAAATAAAGCAGCAAATACTTTCATATATTTGAAGTATTTCTGTCACTTTTAATTTATAACATTTATAACAACAAACTTTAATTTAGGATTAAATTTCTCTTGTTATATCTTGACAATTGTTTTGCTAGCAGTAGCATCATGTTAGCACTGTGTGCTAGTTATTAGCTCCTTGAGTACATAACCATACTTAAATTATGTTTAATTTTCTAAATTTATTCATCTATTTTTTGGGTTTTGTATTTATGTATTGATTAAAACTCTGTATAGTTTTATATGACCTGAACATTATGCTAGTACTGGGCCAGCATATTTCCAGATGGGGCCATGGCCTCCCTTTGACCCCCACTTGGAGGCACCACTGCTCTGGGATTAAAATTTCTTTACCACATTAATAATAATAACAAGTAAAACTGTTTAAATTTTAGTGCCAACCATCCTGGATGCCAATACAACTTTTTGATACAACTGAAATACTACTTCATCTGAGCACAAAAATTCATTTTCATTGAGCAAATTAATTTTTGTAATTACAATTTGCAACTTTTTAAGGTCAATGGAAACACAGCTATAATGAAACAGAAAAGTCAAATAAAAATCATTAGTATCAAAAACACAAAACACTACAAATGAAAATCAGGTGAACCTTTGATGCATCTGTAAATGTTAAAAGATGTTCAGTCTGTGTTTCTGTGTGATTTTTGTCACTCTTTCTTTGAAAATAGCCAACATGTCGGGGAAAAAGCTTAAGTGCTAATTGGATGCCGTCCCTTGAGAGCTAGCAGGCGTCTTCCTTGCCCTCTGTTTACTGCCTAATGGGATTGCCTCGGCACACACCTTCTTCTGAATAATGAACATGTTTAATATTCCTGCCAGACGATTCTGATCCCAAAGAAATTAGGTTTAACAATTTACAATTTACCTGGACGACAAAAGAGACTCAAACACATTTTGAGAGGCTTTAATGCACATCTGCTACCAACACTGTTAA